GAAAGTCAGCGATTTTGAGAAGCGTCAAAAATTCGCTGCATGGGTTTTCCGGCAAATTGATATTGATGAAAACTGGCTGTCAAATGTTCTAAGAACAGATGATGCTCACTTTTATCTAAAGGGAGAATTTAACATTTAAAACTGCCTCATTTTGGCAACAGAAAACCCTAGGAATTTTACAGAAATACCACTTCATCAGCACAGAGTTACAGTTTTGTGTGGGTTCACTTCTTCTTTTATTATTGGGCCATTTTTCTTTGAAAAAATCAATGGAAGAACTTTTAAAACCGTTTTTGTAACTGGTGAACGTTATGTTCAACTTTTGAGAGAAAAGGTTATTCCCATATTGCAGGACAGACAAGTACTAAGCGAAAAAAACATTCTTGCAAGATGGAGGACCTCCTCATATCTCCCGCGGTGCCAAACAATTGCTGAAGGAAACGTTCGGTGGAATTCGTTGATAAGTCGCCACTTTAATATACCAGTGGCCCCCAATATCACCAGACTTGACGCCTTACAATTTCGGTTATGGGGGTACATTAAGTCGCGTTTTTATCGATGCAGGCCTACCACATTGACCATGTTGAAGGCTTCTATCAGATGGCACGTTTAATAAATTTCAACTATTTAATTGTGACCATTCTGTCATCTATCGTCTGCAGGCGGTGTTTGAGAATGATGGGTGCCACATTGAACAAGGATTGTGACCTAATACAAGAGAAAAGGCAGTTACCTCATGTTTTATATTTTGCAGCTCTTTGTTTTGGGTTATGGGAATAATAAATGCTGTCCTGACATCTTGACTCTATTTTTTCTGTGAAAGGTAATTTTTTTTTGTTTGTCATTTGCCCACATTTTATATTATGTCGTGCAGGCCAACGTGTTATAACTTCTCGAATAACACTGGTATACACAATTTTACCCCTTATGTTTAGTTTATCGCTTTTCGCTCATTAGAAGAAATAGCATAAGGAATAATCTATGTATCCCCCCCAACTTTAGGTGTTTTGCGCAAAAAATAATACAAAATGATTCACTACCACGTTTTTCAACGCAAAAGGTCGATTTAAAAATGATTTTTTCTGAGGGGATACATTTTCAAAATTATGTACAGTATAAAGAACAATGATAACAATTGACAAACCCATAGGATATTTGGAATAAAGTACGACAAATATATTTTGTCACTCCCCTCTATATTTCATTTTTTAATCATGACAAATATCCAGTTAAATAGTCAAGTGTCGACAATTAGTCAAGAAACTATACATTCCTTATAGCACGAAATCCTATTAGTAGTGCCATCATAATTCTTGGTACTATATTAACATTTCAAAAATCGTGTATTTATATCAGTAGTTATTTTCAAACATTCAATTTCACAAAACTCCATCTAAAATATAAATATTTTTTGCTACATGTTTTAATTTGCATATACCTATTTTACATATCTCAGATTGTATTTAAAAATCGTCAACCAATTCTTCTAACTTTTGGCGAAATGATGTTTTATTAATTTATCATTTGATATTATTAGGGTTCTTTCCTGGTATTCAAAAAGGAAAAATACGTGTCGTTCAGTTATATTTTTCAATTTATCAAACAATTTGGCCGCTGAATCTCTGATTCTGGTAGAGCGCCATCTCTAGCGAATAAAGTTGTAACTAAAATCAATTTCGAATTTTTCATTATTTGCCATAAAAATTCCCATTGCATCCTGAACACAATGAGGTTTACCGCATTTCTCTAGCGCAAATATTCGCGGAGTTATTAATTTTTAAAGTTGTGCGTGACTTTTGGATCACCCTGTAGATTAGAAACATAAGGATAAAAGAACAAATTGGATTATAGATTAGAAACATAAGGTAATAAGACCAAATTGGATTATAGATTAGAAACATAAGGATAAAAGACCAAATTGGAATATAAATTAGAAACATAAGGTAAAAAGACCAAATTGGAATATAGATTAGAAACATAATGATAAAAGACCAAATTGTAATATAGATTAGAAAAATAAGGTAATAACCCCAAATTGGCTTATAGATTAGAAGCATAAGATAATTAGAACAAATTGGATAATAGATTAGAAACATATAACGATAAAAGACCAAATTGGATATATATTAGAAACATAAGGTAATAAGACCAAATTGGAATATAGATTAGAAACATAAGGATAAAAGACCAAATTGGAATATAAATTAGAAACATAAGGTAAAAAGACCAAAATTGGAATATAGATTAGAAACATAAGGATAAAAGACCAAAGTATAATATAGATTAGAAAAATAAGGTCATAAGACCAAATTGGCTTATTAATATATATAGTCACGACCGTCTTTCCTCATCGGCCTCAGTCACGGATGCGCGCGCATCATCATTATGATCATTATCATAATCTAATGATAATAATAATAATTATTATATTATTATTATTATCAACATATATAGTCACGACAGTCATGGGCCGGTTCTATCACGGATGCGCAGGCATCATCATTATGATCATTATCATTATCTAATGATAATAATAATAATGATGTTAATAATAATAATAATAATAATTATTATTATTATTATCTACATATATAGTCACGACCGTCATGGGCCGGTTCTGTCACGGATGCGCGCGCATCATCATTATGATCATTATCATTATCTAATGATAATAATAATAATTATTATTATTATATTATTATTATTATCCCTATATATAGTCACGACCGTCATGGGCCGGTTCTGTCACGGTTGCGCGCGCACAGGAAGGTCACGTGCTCGCCGGCAGCCAACGGGCGCGCGCCGCCGGCATTACGTCATAGATTATAAACACAAGGTAATAAGGCCAAATAAAAAAATAGTGTGTGATAAGGCACAATTTGGATTATCTACTTATATAATTGCCTTATTCTGTCTGTGTGAAGTTCACTGTGTGAAGTTCACGGATAGATTTTGGTCAGAATGGATAAAATGAAAAAAGTGTCAAGGGATGGGAATCAAACCCACGACCTTCCGCTTACCGGGCAGATGCCATGACCACTAGGCTACCCTGAAAATATTTTTCCGTTCACATTTTAATTTTTATATTTTCAAGACACACACAGTTTGGGGCGGGACGTTTCACAAGAGAGACATCCACGGCGCCAATTTATAATTGTAACGAATAGTATTTTAATTAAAACATTTTAAAAATATATACGCACTCGGGTAAAACCCGGGCGTTGCCCGGGCCATTCGTCTAGTCCCTATATATAGTCACGACCGTCTTTCCTCATCGGCCTCAGTCACAGATGCGCGCGCATCATCATTATGATCATTATCATTATCTAATGATAATAATAATTATTATTATTAAAGCTATACAACCAGTTTAACCGCATAAGTTTATTTTTATTTATGAAAAATCATTTTTAATTTCAAAGAGAAATAATTTAATATTTCTAACTTTTGGATGACGTATGAAAAGGTTGAATATATGAAGAGTGATGGTCTATATATGAATGGATGACGTATGGAGGGTGAAAAATATGAAGAGTAATGGCGAACGGAAAAATAAAAGTGTCCAGGAGCGGGAATCGAACCCACAACCTTCTGCTAACCGGGCAGGTGCCATGTCCACTAGGCTATCCTGGACGTATTTTCTCCGTTCTTAAATAATATTTAAACTGACTAATAATACTTATAAATGACTGCGGCGTATAATTATAAAGCTATACAACCAGTTTAACCGCATAAGTTTCTTTTTATTTATGAAAAATCATTTTTAATTTCAAAGAGAAATAATTTAATATTTCTAACTTTTGGATGACGTATGAAAAGGTTGAATATATGAAGAGTGATGGCGAACGAAAAAATAAAAGTGTCCAGGAGCGGGAATCGAACCCACAACCTTCTGCTAACCGGACAGGTGCCATGTCCACTAGGCTATCCTGGACGTATTTTCTCCGTTCGTAACTAATATTTAAACTGACTAATAATACTTATAAATGACTGCGGCGTATAATTATAAAGCTATACAACCAGTTTAACCGCATAAGTTTCTTTTCATTTATGAAAAATCATTTTTAATTTAAAAACGAAATAATTTAATATTTCTAACTTTTGGATGACGAATGAAAAGGTTGAATATATGAATAGTGATGGTCTATATATGAATGGATGACGTATGGAGGGTGAAAAATAAGAAGAGTAATGGCGAACGGAAAAATAAAAGTGTCCAGGAGCGGGAATCGAACCCACAACCTTCTGCTAACCGGGCAGGTGCCATGTCCACTAGGCTATCCTGGACGTATTTTCTCCGTTCGTAACTAATATTTAAACTGACTAATAATACTTATAAATGACTGCGGCGTATAATTATAAAGCTATACAACCAGTTTAACCGCATAAGTTTCTTTTTATTTATGAAAAATCATTTTTAATTTCAAAGAGAAATAATTTAATATTTCTAACTTTTGGATGACGTATGAAAAGGTTGAATATATGAAGAGTGATGGTCTATATATAATGGATGACGTATGGAGGGTGAAAAATATGAAGAGTAATGGCGAACGGAAAAATAAAAGTGTCCAGGAGCGGGAATCGAACCCACAACCTTCTGCTAACCGGGCAGGTGCCATGTCCACTAGGCTATCCTTGACGTATTTTCTCCGTTCGTAACTAATATTTAAACTGACTAATAATACTTATAAATGACTGCGGCGTATAATTATAAAGCTATACAACCAGTTTAACCGCATAAGTTTCTTTTTATTTATGAAAAATCATTTTTATTTCAGAGAGAAATATTTTAATATTTCTAACTTTTTGATGACGTATGAAAAGGTTGAATATATGAAGAGTGATGGTCTATATATGAATGGATGACGTATGGAGGGTGAGAAATATGAAGAGTAATGGCGAACGGAAAAACTGGTTGTATAGCTTTATAATTATACGCCGCAGTCATTTATAAGTATTATTAGTCAGTTTAAATATTAGTTACGAACGGAGAAAATACGTCCAGGATAGCCTAGTGGACTTAGCACCTGCCAGGTTAGCAGAAGGTTGTGGGTTCGATTCCCGCTCCTGGACACTTTTATTTTTCCGTTCGCCATTACTCTTTATATTTTTCACCCTCCATACGTCATCCATTCATATATAGATCATCACTCTTCATATATTCAACCTTTTCATACGTCATCCAAAAGTTAGAAATATTAAAGTATTTCTCTTTGAAATTAAAAATGATTTTTCATAAATAAAAAGAAACTTATGCGGTTAAACTGGTTGTATAGCTTTATAATTATACGCCGCAGTCATTTATAAGTATTATTAGTCAGTTTAAATATTATTTACGAACGGAGAAAATACGTCCAGGATAGCCTAGTGGACATGGCACCTGCCCGGTTAGCAGAAGGTTGTGGGTTCGATTCCCGCTCCTGGACACTTTTATTTTTCCGTTCGCCATTACTCTTCATATTTTTCACCCTCCATACGTCATCCATTCATATATAGACCATCACTCTTCATATATTCAACCTTTTCATACGTCATCCAAAAGTTAGAAATATTAAATTATTTCTCTTTGAAATTAAAAATGATTTTTCATAAATAAAAAGAAACTTATGCGGTTAAACTGGTTGTATAGCTTTATAATTATACGCCACAGTTATTTATAAGTATTATTATTATTATTATATTATTATTATTATTATTATTATCAACATATATAGTCACGACCGTCTTTCCTCATCGGCCTCAGTCACGGATGCGCGCGCATCATCATTATGATCATTATCATTATCTAATCATAATAATAATAATTATTATTTTACTATATTATTATTATTATCCCTATATATAGTCACGTCCGTCTTTCTTATCGGCCTCAGTCACGGATGCGCGCGCATCATCATTATGATCATTATTTTCTATAGAAGCTTCTATCTTTATAATTATGTATATTTACAAAAAGTCAATTCGCTCGCGCCTCTAGCGGTGAAAATGAGGGGTATTACCAGCTGACCTAATGTACATGTAAAGTTTAGAGCGGTACGTTTCACAAGAGTGACATCCACGGCTCCAATTTATAATTGTAACAAATAGTATTTGAATAAAAACATTCAATCGGGTAAAACACGGGCGTTGTTAATATTTAGTCACGACCGTCTTTCCTCATTCCTCATCGTACGCCTCTGTCACGGATGCGCGCGCACAGGGAGGTCACGTGCTCGCCGGCAGCCGACGGGCGAGCGCCGCCGGCATTACGTCTTAGTATATGATATAATATATAATAATAAGGCCAAATAAAAAAATAGTGTGTGATAAGGCACAATTTGGATTTTCTACTTATATAATTGCCTTATTATGTCTGTGTGAAGTTCACTGTGTGGAGTTCACGGATATATTTTGGTCAGAATGGATAAAATAAAAAAAGTGTCAAGGGATGGGAATCGAACCCACGACCTTCCGCTTACCGGGCAGATGCCATCACCACTAGGCTACCCTGGACATATTTTTCCGTTCACATTTTTATTTTTATATTTTCAAGACACACACAGTTTGGGGCGGGACGTTTCACAAAAGAGACATTCAAGGCGCCAATTTATAATTGTAACGAATAGTATTTTAATTAAAACATTTTTAAAATATATACGCACTCGGGTAATACCCGGGCGTTGCCCGGGCCATTCGTCTAGTAGATTAGAAGCATAAGATAATAAGAACAAATTGGATTATAGATTAGAAACATAACGATAAAAGACCAAATTGGAATATAGATTAGAAACATAAGGTAATAAGACCAAACCTAAATTGGATTATAGATTAGAAACATAAGGATAAAAGACCAAATTGGATTATAGATTAGAAACATAAGGTAATAAGACAAATTTAATTATAGAATAGAAACATAAGTAATAAGACCAAATTGGAATATAGATTAGAAACATAAGGTAATAAGACCAAACCTAAATTGGAATATAGATTAGAAATAAATCAACACAAAGCAATAACGCGCCATCTATACATATAAAATAAAAGGATTTAAAAGCGCGAATGTTTATTTTATACATAAAATGAACTTCTACTGTCCTTACTGCGATGAAAAAAATATATTGGGAGGGCTTGGCTCATCAGTGGTGAACCCTCCCAGCGGTTTCGCCAATTTAATCCACCAGACCGCTTCTCAGAGCTCTAATACTGTATTGGATCATTCTGCTTTTATATGCTACACTGAAGGATAGAATCTTAGAAATGGTTTTCCAGTAAACTATGGACATAAGCTTATAGGACAGTAGAATTACATTCAAATATTTGCTTTGAGCAATGCTCTTCAGCAAACTATAAAGACAAGGCCATTAGGAATAAATTACCACAAAGAAATAACGAACCATCTATACATATAAAACAAAATGGCGCGTTATTGCTTTGTGTTAATTTATTCCTAATGGCATTGTCTTTATAGTTTGCTGAAGAGCATTGCTCGAAGTAAATATTTGAATGTAATTCTACTGTCCTATAAGCTTATGTCCATAGTTTAGTTGAAAACCATTTCTAAGATTCCATCCTTCAGTGTAGCATATAAAAGCAGAATGATCCAATACATTATTAGAGCTCTGAGAAGCGGTCTGGTGGATTAAATTGGCGAAACCACTGGGAGGGTTCACCACTGATGAGCCAAGCCCTCTCAATATATTTTTTCATCGCAGTAAGGACAGTAGAAGTTCGTTTTATGTATAAAAGAAACATTCGCGCTTCAAAATCCTTTTATTTTATATGTATAGATTAGAAACATAAGGTAATAAGACTAAACCTAAATTGGAATATAGATTAGAAACATAACGTAATAAGACCGAACCTAAATCGTATTATAGATTAGAATCATAAGGATAAAAGACCAAATTGGATTATAGATTAGAAACATAAGGTAATAAGACCAAATTGAATTATAGATTAGAAACATAAGGTAATAAGACCAAATTGGATTATAGATTAGAAACATAAGGATAAAAGACCAAATTGGAATATAGATTAGGAACATAAGGATTAAAGACAAATTGGAATATAGATTAGAAACATAAGGTAAAAAGACCAAACCTAAATTGGATTATAGATTAGAAACATAAGGATAAAAGACCAAATTGGAATATAGATTAGAAACATAAGGTAATAAGACGAAATTGGATTATAGATTATAAACATAGGGAAGAAGACCAAATTGGAATATAGGTTAGAAACATAAGGTAATAAGACCAAATTGGATTATAGATTAGAAACATAAGGATAAAAGACCAAATTGGATTATAGATTAGAAACATAAGGTAATAAGACCAAATTGAATTATAGAATAGAAACATAAGTAATAAGATCAAATTGGAATATAGATTAGAAACATAAGGTAATAAGACCAAACCTAAATTGGAATGCCATCTATACATATAAAATAAAAGGATTTAAAAGCGCGAATGTTTATTTTATACATAAAATGAACTTCTACTGTCCTTACTGCGATGAAAAATATATATTGGGAGGGCTTGGCTCATCAGTGGTGAACCCTCCCAGCGGTTTCGCCAATTTAATCCACCAGACCGCTTCTCAGAGCCCTAATACTGTATTGGATCATTCTGCTTTTATATGCTACATTGAAGGATAGAATCTTAGAAATGGTTTTCAAGTAAACTATGGACATAAGCTTATAGGACAGTAGAATTACATTCAAATATTTGCTTTGAGCAATGCTCTTCAGCAAACTATAAAGACAAGGCCATTAGGTATAAATTAACACAAAGAAATAACGAACCATCTATACATATAAAATAAAATGGCGCGTTATTGCTTTGTGTTAATTCATTCCTAATGGCATTGTCTTTATAGTTTGCTGAAGAGCATTGCTCGAAGTAAATATTTGAATGTAATTCTACTGTCCTATAAGCTTATGTCCATAGTTTAGTTGAAAACCATTTCTAAGATTCCATCCTTCAGTGTAGCATATAAAAGCAGAATGATCCAATACAGTATTAGAGCTCTGAGAAGCGGTCTGGTGGATTAAATTGGCGAAACCGCTGGGAGGGTTCACCACTGATGAGCCAAGCCCTCCCAATATATTTTTTCATCGCAGTAAGGACAGTAGAAGTTCGTTTTATGTATAAAAGAAACATTCGCGCTTCAAAATCCTTTTATTTTATATGTATAGATTAGAAACATAAGGTAATAAGACTAAACCCAATTGGAATATAGATTAGAAACATAACGTAATAAGACCGAACCTAAATCGTATTATAGATTAGAATCATAAGGATAAAAGACCAAATTGTATTATAGATTAGAAACAAAAGGTTAAAAGACCAAATTGGAATATAGATTCGAAACATAAGGTAATAAGACCAAATTGGATTATATATTAGAAACATAGGGATGAAGACCAAATTGGAATATAGATTAGAAACATAAGGTTATAAGACCAAATTGGATTATAGATTAGAAACATAAGGTAATGAACCAAATTGGATTATAGATTAGAAACATAAGGATAAAAGACCAAATTGGAATATAGATTCGAAACATAAGGATAAAATACCAAATTGGATTATAGATTAGAAACATAAGGATAAAAGACCAAATTGGATTATAGATTAGAAACATAGGGTAATAAAACCAAATTGGAATATCGATGAGAAAAATAAAGTAATAAAACCAAATTGGAATATAGATTAGAAACATTAAAATATACAAGTATCAGAGTCATCAATCAACAATCAATCAACAATTTTGTCACCGTTTGCTTTTGTGAATGGAATAAATACCCAAATATGGCCATTTTTTATAAGCATCTGTGGTTCAGTGGTAGATAATCGCCTGCCACGTGGCCGGCCCGGGTTCGATTCCTGGCCGATGCATTTTTCTTTTTTTTTTTTAAATTTTTAAAACTCATTTATATTATTATTAAAATATACAAGTATCAGAGTCATCAATTCTGTCATCGTTTGCTTTTGTGAATGGAATGGTTTTACGTAATATACGTATAATACGTAATTAATATGACTGAAATTTTAGCAATATTGTCACTGAATAATTATTTTAAATATTCTGTGGTATATCATCATTAATATTTGCATAGTCATCACCCCTCACCATTCTTGTATATTATTACTTGTAAATAATTTTTTAGAAATAGTTTGCATTTTATAAATAATTTATTTTTACTTAAACTTTTGTTATACTCGTTATCACTACCGTGACAACTGGTGGAGAAGCTGGAATATTCCCTCGACGCCCAAGCCGTTAGAAGAAGCCGAAGACTACAAGGACTAGAACCTAAAGGAAACATTGCTATGATCAAGCAAGAGACACAGACAAAAATGGGTGAGTACCACTTTCAACCTTTTAGAAACCCTTCTATTTTTACTGGAGAACGCAACCAGAATCCAGAAAAATGGTTGAAAGAATTCCATCGCGTCGCTCGCTACAACTGCTGGGATGATTCAATGTGCCTTGCAAATGTTTATTTTTTCCTTAAAGGAACAGCGCAGAGATGGTACGAAAATTTTGAAGAGAAAATTAATTCATGGGATATTTTTGTGAAAATGTTTTCTCAGAATTTCGGACATCATGTCACCCAAAAAGATCAGCTCGCAGAGAACCTCAAAACTCGAGCTCAGAGGAAGGAGAAGACCAGTGATTCCTACATTCAAGATGTTCTCTATCTGTGCAGAGAAGTGAATCTGGCTATGATGGAAAATGAAATAGTCGCACACTTGACGAAAGGAATATCGGAGGAGATATATCAGTCAATAATCATTTTAGACATCGCAACTATTGATGAGTTCATTAAATGGTGCCGAAAAATCGAGGCTTCAAATAAAAAACGTGTAAATAAACGTGTAGTATTCGACAGACTACCGAATGTTGCCGCCATCGATTCAGCAGACTCTGAATCAAGGGAAGACTTAATCCGACGCATCGTGAGTGAAGAAGTTCATCGCGCACTAAAATACGAGTCAACTACCCCTGAACCATCTTCTCTGAAAGAAATTATCCGAGAAGAGATTGAAAAAAACGTAGCTTCAATTTCGAAGCCTATTCAAAGGCCTCCGCCACGACAGTCGTACCCCAACCAAACACGTACATTCAGCCAGGTTCCACGACGTCAGTACCCTACCCAAACACCCATATATAACCAGACGCCACCACAACGAAGAACGGATGAATGGAGGACGCATGACAACATCCCAATATGTTTTAAATACGGCCGCCCAGGCCATGTTAAGCGATATTGTAGAGAACGACGACAATGGACGCAGAGACCCGAAGGACATGCACCAAGCACCCAAGAACCTCAAATGAGTAACTACCAAGCAATAAGAAGCTAAATCTATCGCAGACAATCGCCGTATCCAAACAGAGGAAGATCCCCAAGACGCCAGTCCATTTCCCCAGGCCGCCATACAAGCCAATCCCCACGCCGCTACAATCTAGAAAAAAACTAAGCGTCGCGTCTTCTTTCGATGGGGAAGCCGCGGGTGTGAAAACCCTCCATCGTCGACAGCCGCTAAATTACAACAAAATTATGTCGAAATCATCATTGATCACATTGCATTTTCTGCTCTGGTCGATTCAGGTTCCTCTTTTTCAGTTATCTCTGATGGATTAAGACGACAATTAAAAAAGACCATGTTCAAGGATAGCGGAATGACTCTGAAAGTTGCTGATGGCAAGAATGTTACATCGATCGGCCGATGCACAATCAGCTTGAGCATCAATGGATTGGACCAGCCGCTTGAGTTTATCGTCCTCCCTAATAGTAACCCAAGTATTATCCTCGGATGGGATTTCCTAGAGGCATCAAATGCCGTGATTGATTGTGGACGTGCCGAAATCAGATTGGAAGAGGCCAAAGATGTACTAAATTCACCAGCTTCCATGGGAAAGGTTGTGGCTAGCAGAAGCGTCGTAATCCCAGCCGAATCTACCAAACTAATAAATGTTATGAGTGAAGAGCTTAATGGGCAAAATCATGTACTTTTTGAACCTTCGAAAAAGGTATTAATAGGAAAAGGGTTAGCACTTCCCTGTGCATTATTCAGGCTTTCCCATAATAAAGGAAAACTTTGGATCGTAAATTCTAGCACCACAGTCAAATAGTCCCTAAGGGAATGTGCCTGGGAAAAATTCAAAGGGTTTAAGAAAATAACTTGACGGCTATTTCGGAATATTCTGAATTTAATAAGGAGATGAAAGATGGGAATCATGCCAGTCATGCTGATAAAGGTGACTTTAAATTTTTACAAAATCTAATTAGTGATGATTTATCAGAAGAGCAGCAGTCTCAAATCTTATCAATTTTAAAACGATATGATAAAATATTTGATAAAAATAATGAACCAGTAAAGCAAACTTCAGTAACCAAACATAAAATTGAAACTGGAAACCATCAGCCTATTAAGCATAGACCATATCGAGTCTCCCCTACAGAACGCCAAGCAATCCAAACGGAAGTGGACAAAATGATAGACGCCGGGATTATACGTCATTCAGAAAGCCCATGGTCATCGCCGGTTATTTTAGTGAAGAAGAAGGATGGTAACTGGCGTTTCTGCGTGGATTACAGACGACTAAACAAAGTTACTAAAAAAGACGTTTATCCACTACCCCGAATCGATGATAAACTTGACTCCCTGAAAAGAGCTAAATTTTATTCATCAATGGACCTTCGTTCAGGGTATTGGCAAATAGAAGTCGACGAAGCAGATAGAGAAAAAACTACCTTTATTACCCCTGACGGACTCTACGAATTCCTAGTCATGCCCTTTGGCCTGTGCAATGCACCTGCAACATTCGAGCGCATGATGGACAAGATATTGAAAGGCTTGAAATGGACGATGGCCCTCTGTTATTTAGACGACATCGTGGTGTATTCCAAATCGTTCAACGAACATTTACACCGGCTTGAAATCATACTACAATGTCTCGACAAAGCCGAGCTACGCCTCAACCCAAAAAAGTGCCTTTTCGGAACCAAACGAATCAAAGTGTTTGGAAACCTCGTCGATAGTAAAGGTATTTATCCCGATCCAGAAAAGATTGAAGCTATCGCCAAGTTTCCGACCTCAAAATCTATAACAGATGTGAGAAGCTTCATTGGCCTATGTTCCTATTATCGTAGATTTATCGAAAATTTTGCCGAGAAAGCTGCTCCTTTACACGAAGTCCTCAAAAAAGATAATAAATTCACGTGGAACTCTGACCAACAGGATGCTTTTGATTTCTTAAAAAAAGCATTGATGTCTGAACCTGTTCTTGCCTATTTCGAAGAACAACTGCCAACCGAGCTTCATACTGACGCCAGCGGTTATGGAATTGGAGCTGTCCTCGTACAGATCAACGATGGGAATGAGCGGCCAGTTGGTTATGCTTCAAGAACTTTATCTAAGGCGGAGAAGAATTACTCAACAACGGAAAGAGAATGCTTGGCCGCAATATGGGCCATCAACAAATTTCGACCGTACCTTTTGGTCGTGAGTTTGTCATCGTCACTGACCACCACGCTCTTTGCTGGTTATCTAATCTGAAGGACCCGACAGGAAGACTAGCAAGATGGGCTTTAAAACTCCAAGAATACAATGTAACGGTTGTTTATAAAAGTGGACGCAAACACCAAGATGCCGACTGTCTTTCTCGAAATCCTCTCCAACTTGAATCGGAAGAAGCATACAATGATGAGGATGATGATATACCCTCAATAACTGCTCTGACGTGTTTCGAGGCTGAACAAAGAAAAGACCCTAAAATTTGTAAATTGATAGAGGAAACAGAAAGATTTGGTGCCGAATAGAAAGGATATGAAATGTTAAAAGGAACCTTATACAAAAAGAATTTCGACCCCCTGGGAAACCAAAACCTTTTAGTTATTCCTAAGCACTTACGCTTAGAACTACTGAAAAGTTTACACGACGCTCCCACAGCAGGTCATCTTGGATTTTCGAAGACATATGAGAGAGTTAAAAACAAATATTTCTGGCCAGGACTTCTCCGGGACATACGGAAGTATGTCGCTCATTGTAAAGAGTGCCAAAGAAAGAAACAATCAACTCAAAAACCACCCGGACTACTTAAGGCCATACCTCCTGCAACCTCCCCTTTTCAGAGAGTTGGAATGGACCTCCTTGGAAGATTTTCCAAGTCTGATACTGGTAATAAATGGATCATAGTCTGTACCGACTATCTTACTCGATTTGCCTTTACTAAAGCCTTACCCACAGGGGAAGCAAAAGAAGCAGCCAAGTTCTTAATGGAAGATGTTATTCTCAAGCACGGAGCCCCAGAGAAATCATCACGGACCGAGGACGAGTATTTCAATCCAAGTTGATTGCGGAACTCACCAATCAATGCTCGTCGATACATCGGTTCACGACAGCGTATCATCCCCAGACGAATGGACTGACGGAGAGGTTAAACAAAACCTTAGCCAACATGATCGCTATGTATGTAAGTGTTGAACAGGAGGACTGGGATGTAATCCTGCCCTACGTCACGTTCGCCTACAACACGGCAAAACAAGATACGACAGGTTTTACCCCTTTTAAACTGATTCATGGACGCGAAGCCGAAACAACTGTAGACACTATTTTCCCAAATCCGCATGAAGATCTCCAAGAGGATTACAGTCAGAAGATTGCCTCGCGAGTCGAAGAAACTAGGCAGCTAGCAAGATTAGAAACCTTGAAAGCCCAAGAAAAGAACAAGGCCAGATATGACTCAAAGCACGAGGCAATGGATTACAACGTCGGTGACCTGGTATGGATATTCATCCCGATAAGAAAGGTGGGACTCTCAGAAAAACTGATGAAAAGGTACTTCGGGCCATACAGGGTTACTCGGAAACTCTCTGACGTGACCT